CCAATATGTCGGCAAATCGTTTCCGCCCCAGTACTTCTGGCACGCATTAATAAGCAACTGCTCCAAACCTCCCGCATCTCGCAAAAGATACTTCCGAAATTCTGGCGGTAGTCCGTCAGTGCCTGCTGCTTTTCCGAATGACAGGTTACTCACAACACTGAAACCCAACATTGCAAGGGCGGCTGTTTTGACCAGCAAATCGTTTCCCAAATCAGTTTTGTCAGCATGGGCGGCATTTGGATTCGCGATCTCCCACTGCGCGCGCTCGAAATAATATGCCAACACGTCACCGCGCAGGTCGCTGCCCACCAAATTACCTGCATGGTCTTTGATTATCCTTGGTCGCTCGGCGCCCCCTTTCCCGAGCTGCCAGACAGCGCGCCAAGGTCCCTCATGCAATTGTTCTTCCAGCCACATTCGCTTGTCCTTCTGGATTGAATTGCGGATGATTGGTCCGAAGCGTGGTCCCGTGTGTTCTGTGATATTCACGGTGGGCGCGTCTACTTCTTGCGATCACCGGCCACTCCGGAGGCGCTTTGCATCGCAAGTTCGATGCGTTCCGCATGCCCAGCCCGAAAATTATGCAATTGTTCTGCGCGCGCTGCCCGCAAAAGGCGTCTAAATAGTTCTCTGTCAGAATGCGGTCACTGCGCAGGCTCTGCCACCGTCCCCCATAGCGCGCACGATTCTTCTTCGTCGCGCCCAAACAGATGGAGGACCGAATTTGGAGTAAGAAATGTCTCGGTGCTAACGGTACGTCCCGCACTTAAGAAATCTATGCGAGCTTATCCATAAGCACCGCATCCACTACGCAATGGTGAATGCGTGAAAAGCTTGATACACGTGCTTCCTGCAGGAGGTCACCATCCAGACCATAATACGCCACGAGCTCGCGTGCCGCATGGTCGCGAAACGCGTCGGCGATCACGGCGCCCGTCGCCCGGCAGGCCTCCACGAGGAAATACCTGTCGAGTTCCTTCTTGTTTTGAGGCCATCCACATTTGAAAACAAACGGGGCCAAGATGTCGTCTTCCGCGGGCTGCTGGCAGTGGATCTTCGAGTTGAAGCCACCCAGCGCCATAGCGCACGCATGGCGGCCACACATTGGCCATGTAGCAATCAAGAGATCGAAGAGAGCGCGTCGGTCATCAGGACTGCGTCCAGAATGCGGAGCGCACGCGCTGAGAAGATTGAGCACACCCCCCGGCACCCGCAAGCGCAAAGAGGCGAGCCTGTCCGCAATCAGTTTGAAACTGGCCCCACGAGACACTGCAGACGGAGCAGCAATAAAACCATCTCCTGAACATAATCACCCAACCACCCCCATGTTTGCACCAGAGAAGATAATGATCTACCCATTTTCATGTGTATATGTCTATATAGAAAAAACTTCTGCTACGCGAACCCCTGTCTCTTGAACACATAGAACAGCAGCATCATGCTGTCCCATGTGATGTATAGCTTCGATCAGTTTCGCACGCTTCTTACCAAACCCTTCGACGTTCCAGATTCCAAAACAAGCGTCTTAACTCTGCCGCGGTGATCTCGGACTCGAAATCCACAAATTTGCCGATGACCGCTGTAAGAGAGCGCTTTCCGTTGTGATAGTATTCGTCTGCTGACTTCTAGGAGTACCCTGATCGTGGCGTAAGCTTCCCAATGTCCACAACATATTGCTTGATCTTGCCGATGCGCTCATTCATAGCGTTATCCGTGTTTGTACTTCGCTTCTTTACCTCGTCAAAGTCGTTGGAAACTGTCTTCTGCAAAGTATCAACGTCTTCCCTCATATCCCCCCAATTTGTATCATCAGTGGCGGCGTGGAATCTTCGAAATCCTTGCGGGATGCGACATGATGCTTGAAGGCCGCGATGTCCTGCTGGATAGGCTGGAGATGGCGTGCAATCAAGTTTCCAATTGCATCTAGTGTAAGTGGTCCTTCTCTTGCTCCAGCTGCGCTGCGCCTAGCCCCGAGAGAGGAGAAGGAAGGGGTAGTTGTAGTTGACCTAATATTTCTGACGCGGGAGCCGAGGAGCCTTCAGGGAGTTCTGCATCCATTTCATGGAGCGGGCTGTGGATCCTATGCTCCTTGAAAAGCTGCCTGACCGGAGTACCTGGCAGTTCTTGCTCGCCATCGCCAGAGGAAGCCCTCGGAAGTCTAAGATGTAGGGAGGTGTAAGATGCGAGGAGTGTGAGATGTGAGGAGTGTAAGATGGAAGATGTGAGAAGTGTAGACCAGCACCAGGTCCGTCAATTTGCGAGCCACGAGGGTTCCAGTCCCGACGGGGCATCCAGTCAGGGGGCTCGCAACTGGAGATCCCTTCGAAAAAATTGTTCGGCGCAGGCTTACACATTAGAGCCGCTTGACACGTGGCAGACTGAGCATAAGCGTCTCGCACTGCCACTTGTCATAGACGACTTGCACGTCAGCATCACACACGAGGACCTGGTTGTCGTGACCAGGGAACTCCAGGAGGGTGCCGAGTCGCTCCCGAAGGCCACAGAGGGAGACCTCTGCTGCAAGGCTGCGCGCCGCAAATGCGTCACACTACCTGGTTCTGAGGGCCACATGCCGAGGCTGGCCACAGCGCCCGGGGCTCACGCGGGACAGGTGGCAGCCTCAGGAAAGACTTCGGGCATAGCTCTAGCAGCCGGCAACCTGCGCTGCCAGAGACCCAGCCGCCCAGTGCTCAGACAGTGGTCGAGCCAGCCAACGACCCGCGAGCGAAGATGGACCGCGCTCCGCCGAGCAGGGACCGAGACGAGGAGCCTGGCTGTCAGTGGCATCGCCTCGTGCGGAACGCATGGGGCAGAGGTCACTGGTGTGGACAGTGAGGAACTGCACAAGCTGCGAGCTGCTCTCCGATCCACTGTAGGCTCGAGAGGGGGTTCTCGATCGCGGCCGAGTCTGCTCGCGCTGCACGAGGGCCCACTCGGAGGCAAGGTTTGGCGCCAGGCCTCCTTTGGGCCAAACTTGACTGGCGGGCCAACACGGACAGATCAGCCGGCAATCCTTTCCCGCGGCCGCCCCAAAAATGGGGAGGGCAGCCAGGACCAATGGCGGCGGAGATCTTCTCGCTTCGGAACGCCAGATGGGAATTCACACTGCATTGATCTCCGAGGATGCCGAGGGGGACCTCTGGCCCCCCACAGCTGTTTCACCCAAGATTGTTGAAACCACCAAAGTGTCCGCGTGCCCGCGCACGATTTTTTGCAAAGGCAACGTGGGGCAATAGGCCGCATTGCTAAGCGCAGCCCCTAGCCGAAAAGAGTAGAAACAGAGGAGGTCCTGGAACTGGCATGCGTCCTAGGACAGCGGCGGAACCAATGAGCAGGATGAAAAAGAAGCCATCGCCACCAGTAGCTATCGTCTGGGGCAGACGCTGTCGAGGTTAGCTCACGTCGTCGCAGCCCCGCTGGGAGCCTCTGAGGACCAACAGGGGCGGAAGGCGATGATTGGGGTCAGCATGAGAGCGGGGGTGTAGGAAGGAGGTGGGCTGTATGCATTCGCAAAATAGGGGGACTCCCCCCTGCACCTACGCGGCACCTACGCGGCGCGATTGCGGATGGGCCGGCACGCTTCAATATGAGGATAGGCCAGTACACCCACAACGTCGAGGAGTAGAGGGGTAGTGGCAAGCGTAAGGTCCAGCAGCCTCACGCTGGATGATACGAAATCCCTGTATTTCGTATCCTCCGTAGCGGTCCTCGCTCGTCCGAGGGCTGGGACGCCCGGAGGGCGAGGGAAGCGGCGGCGGCGGGAAAGCTCGGAAAGCCGGACCCCGATTGTTCGATGTCGGGGGGGGCGTGGGGGGTGGGGGGAGATGCGACGGCGAGCAAGCCCCGAGGCTCGGTCCTCGAGCCTCAGAGGTCTTGGGCGACGGGGGTGGGCAGGGATAGCGGCAGCGTCGAGCCAGCCCCGAGGCTCGGTCCTCGCCCGCTCCGAGGTCTGGGGCGGCTGGGGAGTGGGGGCAGCGGCGGAAGAGAGCCGGCACCGGAGGGCAGACCACTTCCAAACCATGCTCGCTTCCCCTTCTAAATACCACCCCATGCGACCCAGATTCGCGAGGATCACCAACAGGCATGGGGTGAGGGGGGGGTGGAGGCCAGCAAGCGCGTTGGTGAGGTGGAACATCCCCAGCTGTTCCGCACTGAGTACCTCGTCATCGTAGTTATCCGCCATCCCCCGTTTTAGGCCACGAGGTTGGTATCCTCATTCATCCAGATGCACCCTAAAGTGGCTGGTGAAGGAAACCACTGGTGCTCTAACCTACTGCCGTGATTATCCTCCTCCTCCTCCTCCTCCTCCTCATCATCATCATCATCATCATCACCACCACCACCACCACCACCATCATCATCATCATCATCACCACCACTACCACCATCACATCATCATCATCATCATCATCATCATCATCATCATCATCATCATCATCATCATCATCATCATCATCATCATCATCATCATCATCATCATCATCATCATCATCATCATCATCATCATCATCATCATCATCATCATCATCATCATCATCATCATCATCATCATCATCATCATCATCATCATCATCATCATCATCATCATCATCATAATCATCATCATTCATCATCATCATCATCATCATCATCATCATCATCATCATCATCATCATCATCATCATCATCATCATCATCATCATCATCATCATCATCACCAATCATCATCAATCATCATCATCATCAGCATCATCATAACCAGCAGCAGCATCATCAGCATCAGCATCAGCATCAGCATCATCATCATCATCATCATCATCATCATCATCACATCATCATCATCATCATCATCATCATCATCATCATCATCATCATCATCATCATCATCATCATCATCATCATCATCATCATCATCATCATCCATGTCCCCTCCTCCTCCTTGTCCTTCTCCTCCTCCGCCGACTCATCCACCTCGTGCCAGCAGACTTCTTCGTCCCGCAGGTCTGGGGGGGAAGGGGAACCTTCTTGCCGTTCTTGATCAGCTGCACTCGACAGCACTTGCGGATGGCGGAGTTGGGCTGCTTGGCCTCGATGCCGATCTTCTCGACGACAATGCCCTCCGTGCGGCGTGCGGTCAGACGAGCAGGCGAAAGGGCATGAGCGGGAGCGGGAGGGGGAGGCAGAGAGAGGGGGGAAGGAAGGAGGGGAGGAGGAAGAAGGAGGGACAACGGCAACGAGGAGAGGAGGGGTATGACGAGGACGAGGAGGACGAGAAGGAGGAGAACAGCCAGGCGGGAAGAAGACGAGGACGAGGAAAAAGAAGGCGAGAGGGACAAGGAGGAAAGGGAAGGAGGCAGAAAAGAGAAGAGGAAGGGGAGGTGAGAGGATAGATGGGTGAAGAAGGCTAGATGCGCTCGGGCCACATCTGGCATCCGACCCCCCCCCCTTTTCATCCCTCAGTGCACACGATCCAGTTCTACTCGCCGAGCTAGGCGCGGGATGGAACGCCCGTCGTTAACTGCCCGCGGGGAGACGGGGCAAGACGGGAGCATTGCAAAATAGGAGAAAGAGGGAAAGAGAGAGAATGATGCTGTGAGGTGGACAGCGCGGAGGGAGGAGCAGCATGAGGAGAAAGTCCAGCGGAGATGGGAAGAGGAACGGGAAGGGGCGGAGCATGAGCATAGGCGTGAGCACAAGGCGGGAGGAGGGAGGCACGAGCGTGAGGAGGGAGGCGGCGGCGGCGGCGGCACGCCGAAGCGCGGGCGGCGGCCCGGAAGCGCGCGGGAGGGGGCGGCGTCAAAACCCGGGACTTCGTCGGTGATTGAGGGCGGTGTGAGGCAGTGCTCGGGATGATCAGCTGCCAGCGTGGAGAGAAGAGGAGGAGAGGAGAGAGGAAGGAGGAGAGAGAGAAGAGGGGAGAGGAGGGGGAGGAGGGGAGAAAGGAGAGGAGAGAGGAGAGAGAGGAAGGAGGAGAGAGGAGAGAGGAGAGAGGAAGGAGGAGAGAGGATAGAGGAGAGAAGAGAGAGGAGAGAAGAGAGAGGAGAGAGGGGCAAGCGAGGCAAGGCAGAGGGAGAGGGCAAAGGTGCCGGGAGCAGTACTCGTGAGGAGCAGCTGCCAACGGGGGGAGCGGAGAAGAGGAGAGGAGGAGGAGGAGGAGGAGGAGGAGGAGGAGGAGGAGGAGGAGGGGGGAGGAGGAGAGGAGGAAGGGAGGAGGGAGGAGGAGGAGGAGGAGGGAGGAGGGAGGAGGGGAGGGAGGAGGGAGGAGGGAGGAGGAGGGAGGAAGAGGAGGAGGAGGAGGAGGAGGAGGAGGAAGAGGAGGAGGAGGAGGAGGAGGAGGAGGAGGAGGAGGAGGAGGAGGAGGAGGAGGAGGAGGAGGAGGAGGAGGAGGAGGAGGGGGAGAGCACGCTGGGCGCGCGGAGCGCCATCTGGCATCCTGCCCCGCCCACCCATCCGCTCCGGTTGCGCTGCATCCTCTTCTCGAGCAGAGCGCCGCTCCTGAAATATGGTGAAGGCATTTTTTGTTTGGCACTTCGAGGGTGAGCGGCCCCACCCGTGATTTCAATGTCATGCAGGGAGGCGCGGGCGGTGCCCCCAGGAACGAGCCCCCTGACTGGGGCTCTTCTTCCTGGGGCCCTGTCCCCGCGCGCCGCTGCCGCCCTCTGCACGCGAGCCAGGCGCCCACGGTCCCTCGCCTCGTCGAGGGACGCAAAGCCGTGCGACCTGGCTACACTCACGAGAGGCGGCACAAGTGGTGAAGGCATTGGAGAAGGAACCACTGAATAAGGAATCCAGGGTCTGGAAGCCAGCGGAACTCCAATCGAGGCTTGGCCATGGATATGACCGCCGCCCTCATCAGATACGGAACCCTCTAGGGTCTGAAGCCTCCTAGGCACATTCCTTAACGAACGCCCCCACCGTATGGCTGACGCTGCAGCGAGAGCACCATGGTTGGAGGACCGCGAGCGTTTTGATCAGCCAAAAGACGATTCAGCCAGAAAGAGCACGCGGAAGAGGTGGGAGCAGGCTGGTGCAGGAGGAAGGGAGAGACTAGAGTGGCTCTCATGTCGTGCGATTGTCGAGGGGGGAAGCGGAGGAGCGTGGGAAAGAGGAGGGAAAGAAGAGATAGGAGAGAAGGATAAATGAAGATGAAAGATAGATACTCAAAAGGAGGGGAAGGGAAAGGAGGGAGGGGGGCAGGGAGGATGGAGAAATAAGGAAGGTGTTCGGCTTGGGAAGAGGAAGAGGGAAGAGGGAAAGAGCGCGGATGAAGGAGGGGAGAAGAAGGCGAGGGAGGAGGAAGGGGGTCAAGAGGTAGGACGCAGGAGGTAGGAAGGATGCAGGGCAGAAGGGGCAGGAGCGAGGATGGAGAAAGAGGAAAAAGGCCACAGAGAACTGAGGTTACCTCAAGGAGGAAAAGGAGGCGAGGCAGGACGGGGATAATGAAAAGAAGGATCATGAGGAAAATCGCTGATCCTCAGAACGTGTGTTGGCGCCAACGTGAGCTTGCTCAAAGAAGCACTTCAAAACACAACGCAGTCGTCGCTGTGAGTGTCGACACAGGCTGCGTGCGATCGATGGAACTGACAGGATAGAATATATATATATATAGATATAGATATAGATGTATATACACACACACACACACACACACACTTGACTAACACACGTACTGAGGACCATCCAGAAAAGGGCGAGGAGGGTGAAGGGTGGAGGATTGAGGGAGAAGGGGAGCAGAGGACACGCGCCAGGCGGGAACGCACGCAGACTGCGAGGGGGTCGCCACCAAAGCGCCGCGGGCAGGTCGCGGGCGGGTATCGTGGGTGCTCCCTGGCACGGACCTGCCACGCCCCGGCGGGCAAAGCAGGCTGGTCGTCTCGGGAGGTCGGCGATGACGAAGATGCGGGCTCCTGCGCCTGCAGAACGCCTGGCCCCCCGACTTCTGAAAGGATCTCCACGGGGAGCCTCCGGTGGTGGTGTGATGGCACCTCGCGAGTGCATCGCGCGTGCTGCACGGCGCCACTTGCGCGACGAGGGCCACCGCCTCTCGGAATGCCCTGGGCAGCTCGCCAGGCATGACATGCTCAGGTCGGGGGGGGGGGGCTAAAGGTGTCCCTGGCCCAAGGTGACCCCAGCTCTTCGCTCCACTTTGGACACCCGGGGCCCCCTGGGCCTCGTGAGGGGCGCCCTGGAACCCGTGGGGGGACTCCCTGGAAATCCTGGGGGCACCCTGGGCCAGGGGCACTTCTGGCAGGGAGGAGGAGGAGGAGGAGGAGGAGGAGGAGGAGGAGGAGGAGCAGGAGCAGGAGGAGGAGGCGGAGGAGGAGGAAGAGAGAGGCGGAGGAGGAGGAGGAGGCGGAGGCGGAGGAGGAGGAGGAGGAGGAGGAGCAGCAGGAGGAGGAGGAGGAGGAGGAGCGGCAGCGGCAGGCCGAGGGCGCAGAGGGCGGGCGCCCGGCCCCGCCTTCGCGTGCGATGTGCCGCCGAAAGGATTGCACTTGTACTTGGTGCCGAGGTTCGCCTCTGGGGTCCCGCCCCGCTCGGAGGGGAACGAAAAATGGCATCAGCACAAAAGCTCGGAGGTCCGCGCGGAGTGCTCGGATCCGCGCTGGACCCCCCTGGCGGCGCCTCTGGCGCCGCCCCCGGCGCGCTCCGCGCGCCAGGAAGGGGCGTCCAGCGCGGATCCGAGAAATCCGCGCGGACCTGCGAGTTTTATGTTTTTGTGACATCTATAGTGAGATCGATAGTGAGACCGATTGTGAGATCGATCGTAAGATCGATCGTGAGAGCGATGGTGAGATCGATTGTGAGATCGATAGTCAGATCGATTGTGAGATCGACCGTTCCCCGCCTCGTCGAGCCCGCTGCCCCCCGCGGAGAGCCGAGCCCGCCTCCGCTCGCGCTCACGCGCGGGCGTCCCCGGTGGGAGGGGGGGGGGGGTAGCAGCCTCGGGGAGGCCGCCGCCGCCGGGGAGCGGTGATCCTGGCAGCACTCGGGGCACTGGTGGCCTGGAGCGCTGCGCTGTCCTACCCTTCTCTTCCCCATCGGATAAGGATCTACCCCTCCCTCTACCCCAGGCCGGGAGAATCTCTTCCCCTCCCAGGGGCCTCCGAAATGACCCCAGGGGGCGCCAAACTCCTGGGGGGCACCAGACTGGCCCAACGAGGCCCCGAGAGGGCAACAAGAGAGCACGGAGCTCAAGGTGGCTCCAGAAGAGCCCCTTAGTGAGCCCCAGAGAGCTCCCAACAAAAAAGCCCGAACGTTCGCCCACACGCGCGCCGAGGTCGCGCCCCCCCTACACTCTCGGGTGCACGCAAACACGGATCAGGGATCCTAGGTCACCCAGTTTCGCGCATCGCGCCCCGCGACGTGCGACGCGCGGTCATCTTCGCACCCGGGTGCCCTCGCGCTGGGGCGCGCGAGGCGCGAATTCTCTTCTCGCCCCTGGGGGGACCTGGGAAACGTGACGCCGGTGCCGCCTCATTTGGCGACGGAGCGCGCCGAGTGCGCATGGAAGCGGGATCCGTCGCTAATCCCGCGCGCACTGATCCATGTCTGCGCTCCATCGAGCCATGCCCAGATACTCGATCATGGCGAGATGTCCGAGCCGTCTTCCCCCTGGAGGCCCATGAGAACTCCCGGTCTCCGGGCCCACAACGATTGCACCAGCTGTTCAGCAGCGGTAACTTGGAAAACGAAGTTTGTCCATTCGGGGAGCATGCTCTCATCGAACCGTTCCCTTGAACCCTCTTCCTGGCAATCGTCGTTCTCCTCCTGCTTATCATCCTTATCATGTTAATTCTTACATGTTTTCGAACGTAAGCGGAATTGCGTCAGCCACCTGAGTATGGATTTGTAAGAGTTCAGGGAAGCCCAGCTATCACAACAACTGCGCTGGCAATATCGACTACGTCCTGGCATAGCGAAAACATGAGTTGCAGCTCGTACGCCCTTGACACGGAAGGATGCATTTCCATGTCGACAAGACTGCCATGCGCTGATACCCGTTATTACTCCCAGCGTTCCTCCTCGTAGTCATCCCTCCCCTTCCCGGTTGTTTGCTCATTCTCGTTATTCCACCTCACCTACTGTTCCTCCTCCGTTCCTTTGACTTATGAATATCTCCTCTGGGTGGCGTGTGGCCCTTTGGGTTGGGCACCTCTCCGCACCTGGCTTGGTACTTCCTCGGTGCCCTCCCTCACCCGTCCTCTTTGCACCGTGGGTCCCGTTTGGGACGCGCGTCGCTCACAGAGTCCCCTGCACCGCTTCGGTGCTTCTCTGCTGCACCACGCTGGACCGCCCATTGGGCCGCCCAGCGTCGTTACCCGGCTTCTGTACCTTTCGGTGCTCCCCGCCGCCGCCCCCTCGCGATGCACCTCCTATTTGGGACGCGCGTCGCTCACTCACTGTCCCCTGCGCTATTTCGGCGCTTCTCTGCTGCACCACGCTGGACCGCCAAATGGGCCGCCGCGCGCTGCTACCCAGCTTCTGCACCTTTCGGTGTGCCCCGCCGCCGCCCCCTCGCGACGCACCTCCCGTTTGGGACGCGCGTCGTTCACTCACTGTCCCCTGCACCATTTCGGTGCTTTTCCGCTGCACCACGCTGGACCGCCAAATGGGCTGCCATGCGCTGCTACCCGGCTTCCGCAGTTTGCGGCGCCCCCCCCCTTCCACGGTGGCCCCACGTTGCCTCCTCCCGTTGCGATGCTGTTCCGCCCCGCCGCCTGCGGGCGCCCGGGACGCTTCGCCCGCCGCCACCTGCCCCACCCCTCTCTGCCCTCTGGCCACCCAGCGCGGCTTTGGGCGGTCGCCGCCATTCCCTTGTCACTGCCAGCCATCTGGCTGCGTTGCCACATCCTTCCGGCTGCCCCGCGATTCCTCCTCCCGTTGCGTTGCTGTTCCGCCCCGCCGCATGCGGGCGCCTGGGACGCTTCGCCCAACGCCTCCCGCCCCAGCTCTCCCGGCCCCCTGGCCACCTTGCCTTGGGCGGTCACGCCGCAATACCCCTGTCACTGCCAGCCATCTGGCTGCTGCTCCTGCCTCCGCACGGCTCTGCGCGCCGCGGTACCTCTGCCGTTCGTGGTGTCCCACTGCGCCCGCCCGCCAGCTCCAGCTGCTGGCTGCCGCCCCCCCACCACCCTTGCCACCGTGGTTCGCCACGGCCGCCCACCGCGCTCTGGCCCTGCGCGCCTGGCTGCTGCTGGCCCCCCCGACTGCTCGTCGTCGAACTCTTCGACGTCTGAGCGTCCCTTCTTCCTCTCGGCGTTCCCCCCCCGTCTGTTTCCGCTGGCCAATTTGCTAGTTAGTGTCCATTTCTAGCTTCTCGTTGGAGCGGCCTCGCCGCTGAGGAATAAAGTTTGTAGGATTTTAGCGTTCTCGCTGTTTGGGGCTTCGGCCACTCCACGATGGCCCAAGAGGACTCCACCGAGACGGCCCAAGAGGTTCCCACCAAGGCCCCGAGACGGCCCAAGAAAGCCCCAAGACTGCCCAAAAGGCTCCGAGCGAGCCCCAACAGGGGCCCAAGAGGGGCGACACAAACCGACATTTCGAGCCATCCGTTCCGAGATGACCCCCAAGACCGCCAGGCCCCCAAGAGGCCCCCAAGAAGCCCCAGGAGGCCCCCGAGAGGCCCCAAGACACCCCGAAACTGCCTCCAAAAGACTGAGGAGACCTCCCAAGAGATCCCAATAGGTATCCAAGAGGCCTCTGACCTACAATCAGGCACTAGACAGGCAAAACCTAAGAGACCTCTGACCCACAACCAAGGCACGGTGGCGAGATGGGCCGAAGGCTACTGGATCCGCCGCCCCCTTTTGCTTTAGCAAAGGGGTGCCTGGCGTGCCAAATTACATGGGTTTGGGTTTTGGTTCTCTGGGGCTTCGGCCCGTCCCGCCGGCGACCCGGAAACTGCACAAGTCAATGCCAAAAACGGCCGTTTCGCCTGGGACGTCCTGAAAAAAATCGCGAAGATGGCCCAAGATGGCCTTCAAGTCCGCCCAAGATGGTAAGACGGCCCCCAAGACGGCCCAAGAGAGTCCAAGACGGCCCAAGACGGCCCAAGAGGCCCCAAAGAGACCTCCAAGAGGTCCTCCAGGAGGGCCCGAAGAGGCCAAAATCATTGATTTTCCGTTAGTTTTTGAAGGATTTGGGAATTTGCTTCTTCTCGGCATTCCGACGGCCCAAGACGGCCCAAGAGGCCCCCAAGATCGCCCAAGAGGCCCCCAAGAGGGCCCCATGACAGCCCAAGTGGCCTCCAAGACGGCCCCAAGAGAGCCCCAAGACGGCCCAAGAGGCCTCCCAAGATGGCTTCCAAGACGCCCAAGATGGCCTCCCAGACGGCCCCGAAGCGCCCCAAGAGAGCCACAAGTCGGCCCAGCAAGGCCCCCCCGACGGCGTCAGACGTGCCAGGAAGCCACCAAGATGGCCGAAGTTGGCTCGAAGCTGGCCCAAGACGGCCCAAGAGGCCCCCAAGAGGGCCTCCAGGAAGGCCAGAAGAGGCTCAAAACATTGATTTGCCTTAGGTTTTTGACGGATTTTGACGTTTGCTTCTTATCGGCCTTCCAACGGCCCGAGACAGCCCAAGAGCCCCCAAAGATCGCCGAAAGATCGCCCAAGAGGCCTCCATGATGGCCCCAGAACGGCCCAAGAAGTCCCCAAGACGGCCCCAAGAGGCCGCCAAGACGGCAGAGGAGGCCTTTAAGACGCCCAAGATGGTCTTCAAGACGGCCCTGGAGCATTCCAAGAGGGCCCCAAGTCGGCCCATAGAGGCCCCCCAAACGGCTTCCGACGCCGTCAGACGGACCAGGAGCCCACCCAAGATGGCCGAACATGGCCCAAGACGCTACAAGAGGCCTCGAAGAGGGCCTCCAGGAAGGCCCATGAAGGCCAAAATTATATATTTCCTATGGTTTTTGAAGGATTGTGGCATTTGCTTTTTCTGCCTTCCGACGGCTCGAGACGGCCCAAGTGCCCCCAAAGATCGCCCAAGAGGCCCAAGACACGGCCCCAAGAGGCCCCCAAGACGGCCCAAGAGGTCTCCAAGACGCTCAAGATGGCCTCCAAGACGGCCCAAGAGCCCTCCAAGACGTCCTCCAAGAAGGTCCGAAAGGGTCGAAATGGCCTCCAGACGGCCAAGATGACCTTCAAGATGCCCACGTGTTCCCCGAAGGCTTTCCAAACCGATTCGGGGAACACATGGTCCAATAGCTTAGCAGGTCTGGTCTCAACGTTCGGCCAGATAGGCGCTTCCCAAAAGGCAGGGGGCGGCGGTGACTCGCCGTAGGCGTCTTCGATCCGCCGCTCCCTGTCGATTCATCGCAGGGGTGCCTGGCGTGCCAGACTATTTCGGTTTTGGTTTTGATGCTTTTTCCAAAAGAACTCCCCCTGGGGCTTCGGCCCGTCCCGCTGGGGTCCCGGGAGGATTGCCCGGACCCGGATGCCGAGGATTTTTCTCTCCAGATGGCTCCAAGACGGCCCAATATGGCCTCCAAGATGCATCCATGACGGCCAAGATGGCCTCCAAGACGGCTAAGATGGCTCCACGATGCCTCCAAGACGAGCCAAGATGCACCCAAGATGGCCTAAGATGGCATCAAGATGGCCCAAGACGGCCCCAGAGGCCCCCAAGAGGCATCCGATACAGCCCAAGAGGCCCCAAGAGGTCCTCCAGGAGGGCCCGAAGAGGCCAAAATCATTGATTGTCCTTAGGTTTTTGAAGGATTTTGGCATTTGCGCCTGTTCGGCTTTCCGACGGCCCAAGACGCCCAAGAGACCCCCAAGGTCGCCCCACTATCTCCCAAGAGGCCTCCAAGATGGCCCCATGACGGCCCAAGAGGCCCCCAAGACGGCCCTAAGAGGGCCCCAAGACGGCCCAAGAGGCCCCCAAGACGCCCAAGGTGGCATCCAAGACGGCCAAGATGACCCAAGATGGCCTCCAAGATGCCTCCAAGACGGCAAAGATGGCCTCCAAGACCGCCCAAGATGGCGCCAAGATGCCTCCAGACGGCCCAAGATGCACCCAAGACGGCCTTAGATGGGCCCAAGAGGCGCCCCCCAGAGGCCTCCAAGATGGCCCAAGAGGCCTCCAAGAGGTCCTCCAGGAAGGCCCGAAGAAGCCAAAATCATTGATTTTCCTCAGGTTGTTGGAGGATTTGGACAGTTGCTCCTTTTCGGCTTTCCGACGGCCCAAGACGGCCCAAGAGGCCCCCAAGGTCGCCCCAAGATCACCCAAGAGGCCTCCAAGATGGCCCCGTGACGGCCCAAGAGGCCCCCAAGACGGCCCCAAGAGGGCCCCAAAACGGCCCAAGAGGCCTCCAAGACGCCCAAGATGGCCTCTAAGAACCCCTGATATGCCCCAAGAGGGCCCCAAGACGACCCAGACAGACCCTCAAGACGGCTTCCGACGGCGTCAGACAAGCCAGGAACGTCCTAAGTCGGCCACGGAGGCCCCCAAGATGCCCCCAAAGGCCCCCAAAAACCCTCCAAGAGGCCCCCAGGAAGCTCCCAGGAGGCCCAAAGAGTGCCCCAAGAGGCGCCGAAGAGGCCTCCTCCTCCTCCTCCTCCTCCTCCTCCTCCTCCTCCTCCTCCTCCTCCTCCTCCTCCGCCTCCTCCTGCTCCTCCTCCTCCTCCTCCTCCTCCTCCACGCCCAAGATGGCCTCTAAGACGGCCCTGGAGCACCCCAAGAGGGCCCCAAGACGGCTCAGAGAGGCTCCCCAAACGGCTTCCGACGGCGTCGGACGGGCCAGGGGCCCACCAAGATGGCCGAAGTTGGCTCGAAGCTAGCCCAAGACGGCCCAAAAGGCATCCAAGAGGGCCTCCAGGAAGGGCAGAAAAGCCAAAAACACTGATTGTCCTTGGGTTTTTGAAGGATTTTGACGCTTGCTTCGATTCCGCCTTCCGACGGCCCGATACGGCCCAAGAGCTCCCAAAGATCACCCAAGGATCGCCCAAGAGGCCTCCAAGATGGCCCCAAAATGGCCCAAGAGACCCCCAAGACGGCCCCAAGAGGCCCCCAAGACGGCACAGGAGGCTTTTTAAGACGCCCAAGATGGCCTCCAAGAGGGCCCTGGAGCATTCCAAGAGGGTCCCAAGACGGCTCAGAGAGGCTCCCCAAACGGCTTCCGACGCCGTCGGACGGGCAAGGGGCCCACCAAGACGGCCGAAGATGGCACTAAGATGGCCCACGACGGCCCAAGAGGCCCCCAAGAGGGCCCCCAGGAAGGCCCAAGAAGCCCAAAATCATTGATGTCCCATGAGTTTTTGAAGGATTATGGGATTTGCTTTGGTTTTCCGGTCTTCCGACGGCCCGAGACGGCCCCCAAAGATCGCCCAAGAGGCCAAAGACGGTCCCAAGAGGCCCCCAAGACGGCCGAAGAGGCCTCCAAGACGCTCAAGATGGCCTCCAAGACGGCCCAAGAGCCCTCCAAGAGGTCCCCCAAGAAAGCCCGAAAGGGTCAAAATGGCCTCCAGGCGGCCAAGATGACCTTCAAGAAGCCCACGTAGTCACCGAAGGCTTTCCAAACCGATTCGGGGAACACATGGTCCGATAGCTTGCCAGGTTTGGTCTCAACGTTCGGCCACATAGGCGCATCCAGAAAGGCAGGGGGCGGCGGTGATTCGCCGTAGGCGTCTCCGATACCCTCCCCTCTTCGCTCACTTCCTCCCCTCCCTCCCTCCCTCCCCTCACTTCGCGTTCCCACCGCGCCCCCCCGCTGCAGAATGGCCGGTCTCCTTCTTGTAGTCCTTGTCGGCCCACAGCTGCGAGCGGCGGCGGATGACGAGCTTACGGGCGCACTTGATCCCGCGGGGCTTGCTTCCGCCCATGTTTCCGACGCGCAGGGGCGGCGAGGAAGGGCGCCGTCTGTCCCCAGAGGGGCACGCAGGATCTGGTGAGCAGAACACCCGATTGCGCCTACTATCTCGTCCACTTTGGCGGTTCCAGGGGGAGAGGACAGGGGGAGGAGGCGGGAGGAGGGGGAAGAAGGGAGGAGGGAGGAGAAGGGAGAGAAGGAGGGAGGAAAAGATAGGAAGATGAGGAGGAGGAGGAAGAGAAGCGAAAGGAGGAGGAGGAGGAGGAGGAGGGGAAGAAGGGGGGGAGGGGATCAAGAGGGCGAGGAAGGAGGACGAAGATGAGCAGGCGGTCGAGGAGCAGCAGGACGAGCGGGAACAGCATGGCCAGAAGCAGGAGGAGAGTCAATGAGAGCGAAGAGAAAGGGGGGGACGAAGAGGACGAGGACGACGAGGACGAGCCGTGCCCGTGGTGAGGGCGTTCAGCATGCAGTGCCTGGCGGCGGGGGGGGAGGGCCTGCCTGGCGCAGGCTCCCCCGCTGGAGTCCGCGCACGCGCTGCCCAACTCCGTGTCACTCGGAGCAGACGGTGTACCTTCTTCGCAGCCCTGGGGCAAGTTGCTGTGAGTGCCTGCGGAGATTCTTCGAGCCTTGGTCCTTTCGCGCGGACGGCGAAGCTGCTTGCGCATGTCCGTCCTCGCTCCTTCTCCCTCCTCCCTCCCTCACGTCTCCTACTACTCCCTCGCCTCCTCCTCCTCCTCCTCCTCCTCCTCCTCCTCCTCCTCCTCCTCCTGCTCCTCCTCCTCCTCGTGTTCGTCCTCGTCGTCCTCGTCCTCTTCATCGCCTCCTTTCTCGTCACATTCATCGACTTTCCTCCTGTTTCTGAGCCTGCTGCTCCCGCTCGTCCTGCTGTTCCTCGACGCCGTTCTTCGCCCTCTTTTTCCCCTCCCCCTTCTCCTCTTCCTCCTACTCCTCATCCTTCTCCTCCACCTCCTCCATCCTCCTCTTCCTCCTCCTCATCTTCCTCCTTTTCCTTTTCCCCCTCCTCCTCCTCCAACTCCTCCTTCTCCTCCTCCTCCTCCTCCTCCTGCTCCACCTCGTCCTCCTTTTCCTCCTCCTCCTCCTCCTCCTCCTCCTCCTCCTCATCATCATCATCATCATCATCATCATCATCATCATCATCATCATCATCATCATCATCATCATCATCATCATCATCATCATCATCATCCATGTCCTCGTCCACCTTTCCATTCCCCACATCCGCCTCCCCATACTGATCCTACTGTTCTTCTTCGCCCCTATCCCACGCATTCCCAATTCTCCCTCGTACCCCTCTCGATTTACCGTCTTTGCTGCTGTTCGTCGCCATAGATTTCTCTTCCATGTGAACAATTCTTCCGTACCGCACCACCATACGTGCCGTGGCAGGGTGACCGCTTCGCATGAGAATGTTTACGGTATCAAACTTCGAAATCACTTACGGGCACTATTTTTTGAGGGGGGTGATGGGACCGGAGAGCAACAATGAAACTCCAACCACATCCGCCTGCCGCAAGATACGAAACTAGCACCGTGCACTGAACGACTAAAAAAATACATCGCGCCGGCGGCTGTTGCACTACCGTGTCAGGGGGGGCCGGGGCAAAAAAAAATACTCTGGAGGAAAAGTAGGGGAGGAAAGAAGGGGGAAAGAAGACGTATGATACGAATTCGCCTTAAAACGGATCGCCCCTAGGTGCGACAGCAAAGCGGGTGCCAATCCCTACCAAATGGCCCAGACGGACAAACCAGTGACATCCACACACTTGTAAGCTTTAAAAGGCAGGCGGCGGAGGTGCAGGAGGAGGAGGAGGGGGAAGAGGAGGAGGACGCCGACAGGACAGATCAGGGCTGCAAGTTTCCGCGCCCATCCAGCGCGATTTCGCGGTTCGGGTCAGAGGCTCGCCGCACCGCGCGGATAGCAGCAGCAGAAGGAAGAGGAGCACAAACGACAGGAAGCAAAGGGGACACGGACACGAAAAAAACAAGCAGCGGAGCAGGCAACGAAGAGAGCAGAATAAGCCCAGATCCCCTGCCCAGCTAGAGAACTCGGCTGCACCGCCAGGCGGCCAAAACAACCGAAGCTAGCTGGGCACATGCAGTCATGCAGCGAAGGGGGAGGTGAAGGGGGAGGAAAAGAAGAGAACAAGGTTGGTGAACACTCTTGACGGCAAGGGCTGGGCCGGCCGTTGCAGCCCAGCGGGAGACAGGAGGGGGAAGGAGACGCGGCTGGCCTACTCTGTCGGCCGCCCACGGGCCTCTCGCACGCAGCCGTCGAAAGCCCCACTGGCGTCCTGCAGCGCGAATGCGCCGTGGCGGCGCCCCTTGTGCACGCGGTGCATGGCGTAGACGGACATGGCCCAGTCGAAAACGGCGCGCTCGCCCTGTCGGCGCCCACGCGTCAAGCTCGAAGCCTGGGCCAGGTCGTGGAACGCCAAGATATCTGCTCGGCACCGCGCGGACAACAAGACAGCAAGCGAAGTGCCCGATGCCGCCCGCCCCATCATTGCACAACCTGCTGGGGCGAGTTTGGCCGCAACGAGATCGCGCGCACGACTCGTTGCAGAATAGACAGAACACTGCGGCCCGAACCCGCACATGGCAGCGCACCGACGAGCGGCAAGTCGCGGGGCGTCGGCGTTAGCCGGTGGCCGGGTAGACATGCCAACGGCCAGTGCCCGAGAACTACCTGGAGGTGGATCTGGGAGCCCACGCGCGCAGGTCCCCGCAGCTGCTCCACTGCATATGTCTGCCAGTCCTCCTTGCAGCGCCAGGCATCCGGATTGACGCGCCGGTGGGCATTGACGCGCTGCGCGGCCCAGTCCAAAGCGAGGATAAAAAGCCGCTGTCTCGCTATGCGCGCAGCCGGCCAAGCCGGTGGAGCGATGCCGTTGTACTCCCGCAGGAGAGCTGCTGCATGTTCCGGGCCCTCTGGCGGGCGAGCAAGCGATCGTTCGCTCCCCGCTCAACCACCCTGGCTTCAGAAGCCGCGAGAATAGAAGGCAGGTATATGGGCTGATCGTGGAAAACGAAGGTCTTGAGTTTATGAGCGCACCCTGCCGCGATCCAATCCTTGGGGCCTCGGACCATCCTCTTGAGGGCCTGGGCTTCCACTTGCTGAAATGCGGCGGAAGGCCTTCCACTTGGCCCGCGAACAAGAAGACCGAGTAAGTGCAAGCTCGGCAGGCCAGGAAGCTCAGGAGCATGCCGACGCCCAGACCCCCCCAGAAATGCGCCCGCTCGATCCACTTTCGCAGCGGCGCCGCCCAGGAAGCGAAGCCCCGGCCAGGGCCCACGCACAAGACAAGGTAATTGGCGGAATCCTGGATCGGAACCCCCGCCCAACGAAGGGCCTCGGCCCAAACCCAAGCCCGCAGTCTCCGCGTGAGCTCCCACGGCAAAAGATCCGCCGGCGCCAGCACCTTCCTCGGGCAATGGAGACCGAGCGCGTAAAGCGCTACGAACTCGGAAAAAAAACTGCCGGAGCATCCGAAGCGGTCACAAGGGCGAGGTCGCCCGCGAAAGCCCGGGGCGCACTGTCCGGAGGAGACAGCTAAAGCCGACGCAGGTACAAGTCCGAGCACGCAGCGCAGAACGGCGGAAAAAAATGGCAACCTTGCCGGATGCCCCACGCTGGCCGGAAACCATCGCACAGAATGCCACGCACTTGCACGAGGCGCGCGTTGTTCCCGCAGAGCGCAAGGGTGAAAATCATGAGCCATTGCGGCCAACCCAGAGACTGGAAGATGCGAGCGCAGAATTTCTGCTCGACGGAGTGGAATGCCGCGGCAATGTCGAAGAAGAAGGCCACGCCCTCCTCCCCCTCCGTCGCGGCGGAGACCAAGGCCTCGCCCACGTCAACGACGCCCCCTACCATCGAGCACCCCTGGATGAGCCCTCCCGGGCAATCCGCGACGAGGGGGCCCAAGACAGGTTCCAACGAGAATATGACGGCACCTGCCACCAGATATACCGTCCGCGATAGTCACGTTGAACGGCCGCGCGCACGCTGGATCATAGAAGTCGGCGCCGTCCTCCGTCTGCCCCGCAGGCTTCTGGGGCAAGGAAACAGAACGCTGTCGCTGAAATCTGGGCGCCCCCCATCAACCTGCGCCTCCGTCGAATCAGATGACACATCTTGGAACGCCCAAGACAGGACGCCTACGGATAAGTTGTCCACGGCCCTTCAAGCCTCTCAGGGGATCCCATATGGTCATGAGGAAGAGTTAAGTGAGCGCCTGATTGCGCGCCCGATATGATCCCTCGACATCCGCACGTTCTGCAGACCATCGCGCCGCGGGCCGCGAGCTTGTCCACGCGCGGCATCTTCTTCAAGCCATTGCTGCAGAAGCTCCTCGCGCGCCCCGCGAGCCTGGAAAAAAGCGGCCTGGCGGTTGCGAACAGCACCTGCCATGGAAGACAGCCCCGCGAGGCACCCCCCACACGGGCGCCCCATGGCCTCAACGATGGACGAGCCCCAAGAAGAAGTCAGTAGAGAAGTCGAGTGGCCTTCTTCTTGACTCGCACCCCGCGCTCATGATCACCCTCTTTGGTGAACTGCTGCGCCCGCTCCAACTCGCGCGAGGCCTGACCCCGCGCCAGTTCCGCGGCGCGGTCACGTAGGGCTCGGAGTCTGTTGGGGCGGCTATGGACAGCGCAGCGACTGTCGACGCACTGCGCCATGGCCGGGCACTGCTCGATGCAATCTGACATGAATACCACGACTCCTGGTTCAGCAGCCTGGATCACGCGCGCAACCACCCCGAGTGGGTCTCCGCGAAGGCTTCGGGGGGCCGATGACTTCGGCCAGACGGCACCCCCCACCCTGGAGCACGGCCTCTCTGAAGGCCCAAAGCCGCCCAAGGTTGGCAAATATGGGCGAAGATGAAGACGATGATGCAGTTCCCCCCGGACCTGCCAGCGGGAGTCTGGATGCCGACTGCTGACTGGACGGAGGCCCTGGCTGGCTACTAAGAAATTATGCAGAGCCCGCCC